ACAAGAGGCCAAGTGGGGAAAAGACCTACCTGGGCAAGCACCACCCGCAGTCACTTGCAACACCCTTAAGAGCACACCATGTGCAGATATCATCAGGCAAGATGGCACTCACAAAGTAGGAAGGAAACATGCAAGACCTTGTACGGCAATCCTTTGACAAAAAGAACCTTATTTTACTCCTTTCCTGATCCCCCAGAGCTTCTAGCACGTAAGTACATGTATATGAGCACTGCACATGCTCAGTCAATGACTCAATGGGAAAAAAAGAATGAAAGACTTGGTCAGAAACTAGAATGTGGGATGCAGTGGTAATAATGACTTTCTTAACTTAGCCAACAAAGAGATTGACTGAACTGAAAGCTGCAGTCAAGACTGACTTATAAGCTACCACGCATTTGTGGGGGTCAGTGGTGAGCAGGGGTCATCATCAGCCAAACTTAAACTGTGCTGCAGACCAACAAGCCTGCCCTTCCCTGGCCTCACCTCACCCATTTGCAAAGCAAGGGACCCCCTTCTTGGGACAATTCAGGTAGCACACCTGACTGACACTCAGAAAATGAGGGCAATGTGCTTAAATTTACCTGAAATCTTGGTACTTACAGAAAGAAGAGGGAGAGGAAATAATAAAACTGGGTGAATTGGGAGTATAAACAACGAGTTTAAACAGGTGAAGACAAGGAAGCCCATCCCTTAATCTGAGTCCCAGGCACCATTTAGGCCAGGGTTTTTAAACTTCTATTTAGCACCACAATGCTGTCCTCAAATAAATCTTAAGTTAAAGAAGTAAATGAAAATAAGCTGATCTCTTTAAAGGAGGGAGAAGACTTTTTAGCTCCCCCTGTCACTAAGCTCCCTATATCTGCCCCTGAGAGGGCTCCTCAGGACATAATCCAAATCCTTAATGTGTCTCCAGGCCCTCATTTTATAGATGAGGAAGCAGAGAGGCAAACGGGAAGTGGACTTGCCCAAGGTCTCTAAACTGGCTGGTGACCAAGCCACACATCTCCCACTTCCAAATCAGAGCTCCTTTGTTACTGCCATTCTCTGTCCCCGAGGCCCACCCCAAGACCTGTCCAATTGACTGTTTTGCTCATTTTGGACTCTGCAAGCAAAGTAGAGCCAGATAGGAAATAAACCCAGTGCCTTTCACCGGCCTCCTAAAACTAAGCTGTGAGTGCCCTCTAGTGGCCTCCAGGGACATTGCCCCGGATTCTCAAACTTGCTAAGGCCCAAAACAGTGACGGACACTGGCAGGGCAGGGGTACACTGGAGCCAAATGGGCCCCTAACCCCACAAGTAACCCCCCAGGAAGTAAATTTTTGTGATGGCTTGTGTTTCTTTAGATGTAACATGCTAATGCATATCACATACATGTTTCGTTCGGTGTACATTTTTTTCCTCAAAACCTTTAGTAGAGTAAGTCGCTGCAGTCCAGAAAGTCACTGCATCTTTATCCCATAGACCCATGAACTCTGAGAAGCGCAGAATTGAAACAAAATCCATGTTCTGAGAATCAAACCAAGTTAAAGCTCTTTTAAATTCCATTGGACTAGGTTTTGTGACCAAAGATGGAATAAAATATGAATAGAAGCACAGTAAAAAGAATTTTCTCAGTACAGTGGTGCCATGCCTAACACAAAGTGAGGGGGTAATGTGAGCATTGGAAATAGCCTAATGAAAGCCCCCAAATGGATCGTCCGGCCTCAACCTGAGTTTGAAATCTGTACTTATGAGGACTCAGGCAATAGAGCGGACAGCTGACTGACATTTTATTCCCCTCTGGGCCTGAACTGCCCTTTTCTACTTATGTCAAATAAGAGATGGTCCTGTTGATCTGTGTGATGCTTCTGACCTTAAAAAAGATAATAATAGTAATAATAGTCTTTTTGTTTCTAATTTCTTCCCTACTAATAAGACTCTGGGTCTATAGGGTAGGAAGAATTGTGTGAAGCCAGATTGGTCTTCCCAGCTCTACTGTGGGCAAAGATAAGCCCAGGATTTTTCCACAAGTTTAAGACCAAGCTCCAGTGGAGCCTGTGGTGATAGGAAGCAACAGATAGCTGCTGGGTCTGGGGTGGGGTCCCCTGTTCCAGACGAGTGCCTTTTATGAGATGCTGAAGGAGAAACAGGTTGAGGCCTCTAGGTTGAGACATTCCAGGAAGGAGGAACAGTTTAGTCGCTTTTTGGCAACATTTGCTTAGAGTGAGGATAATAAGGGGCAGCTAGTGGTTTCCATAATCAATTAGGTTAGCTGGGAGTATTGAAGTGGCGGTGGGAGGGTGTTATGTGGGTACGTTGGCAGAGATGGGGGAAGAATTGTGCCAAGTACATTTTCAATGTTGATTAAAATAAAGCTATGTGGGGGGTGAAATACTCTCAAAGATTAATCCACAGAAGAAAATTCAAAGCCCAGCTTGCAACCTGATAAAACGAGACTAACTACAGTTAGAACTCAGTCCTGGAAGTGATCAAATCAGACGCTACGTGTTAGTGGTTCATCCTACAAGCCCCAGAGAAGTGAAGGATTAATTTTTTATTTTTCATGACCAAGTAGCCTTTCGGGAATATAAGAAAGATTTTACATTAAAAAAATCATTTACTTGAGGCGGCTGAGTGACTCAGTTGGTTAAGAGCTCGCTCAAGAGTTTGAGCTCTGAGCAACAGCGGTTTGATGCCCGGACCAAGCTGAGCTGCCACTGAGCTGCCAACAGGTGGCAGGATGGCTCAGTTTAAAAAAATGAAAATCATTTACTTCATCACATTAACATAGTAAAAGAGAAAAATCTCGTGATCACCTAAATAGATGGAGAAAACGCATTTAATAAAAATTCAACACCCATTTATAATATAAATTCAGAGCAAACTAGGAATATAAGGAAACATTCTGAACCTGATAATGAGTAAAGGATTAATTTTAAATGGCCAACTAAGTCATCTCCTGATGGTTTGGGTGACTTCTTCACTTTCAAAGATTGATTTGAACCCTTTGCATCCCTGCTACAGAGAAACCCCAAGGCAGGTACTAATAACATGCCGATAATCACAACTATGGCTGCAGTGGTTGTTAAAATTTTGAATTACTTCCTTGCCAGGTAGCAAATCGCATCGCCCCAATCTTCCTGGATGCTCTTTCATTGCTCCCTGGCCTCTCTCCCTGGGGAACCCCAATGTCCCCACACCAACAACACCCAGCATAATACCTAGGGCAGCTCCTCAAATGGGCTGTGTTCATTCTGATTGGTCAGAGCCCCTCACGAAACTGGTTGTTGATGAATTTATGTATAAAGACTACTTGTAGGGGTACATATCAGCAGTCAAAGCATTATTGATTTTAGACAATGACCTAGGTAATTGAAAGACATTTGTCACTATTTTAATGCCATCAAATTTCTCCCCGTTAATTACAAAACATCTTTGCACTGTGGTCAGTCAGGAGGGGGTCATGGAAAGTTCTAGTAGGGTCTGCTACCTGCTAGTTGTTACTATCATTCCTTCTCTCTAGCCTCTATTCCCTTGCATTTGGTCAAAGAAAAGTGTAGACCAGCCCAGGGGTTCCTAACCCGGCTGCACAGGAGAACTACCTGGGGAGACTGTGAAAAACCCCTATGCCAAGATTCTGATTTAATTGATCTGGGAGGGAGGCATCTGTGCTGTTTGGAGGTACACAGTGACCCTCTGTGAGGCCAGCGCAGAAAGCCTAGCCAAACACTAAGGCCCTGGTGCCATGACTACAATTCAGCTGCCCCTTCCATGTCACCTATATAAACAATTTGCTTTCCAGGACTGACAATAGGTGCTGGCTGCAGTCTCGCCCAGGTGAAGGACATCTTGGCGGAGAAGGTTTCTGAGCTCCCAGAGGAGAAAACTCAGACATACCGAGCCCTCCTGAAACACCTGAAGAGCCTGGCGGGCCAGCAGATCCGGAATATGGCAGTATGTTCTTTAGGCCTATCATTAGGCACGCTGTATCTATTTCTTAATCTCACTGAAATATTGAAATAGGCATTTTGCAGAATTCACATGCAAAAAGGCCTCCGCCAATCCAAACGATAGGCACAGTAAATAAATATTTAATATTTAACAAACATTATTTAATAACATATTTAAAGAAGGATTCTAAGTCAAGTTTAATAGAAGAGCCAAGTATCAATCTAGGTGGGAAAGAACTTCATGGTTTTGCTAATTTTACAATAAGACTGTCAAGAAACCTAATTTAGTTTTAGGCTGCATTAACAAAAGTATAGAACCTAAAGTAAGGAGGGTAGCCTTTGCTACTCCAGACTNAAAAAAAAAGACAGAAATTAAAAATTGAGGGATCAGTCCCTAGACAAGTTTTGGCTAAAAGCCCACATGGTTTTTAATTAGTTGTCAATGTTTAAAAATTAGGAAATTTTATATTTAAAAAAATTTTAACAGCCTTTTCTTAAATAACTTTTTACTTTTCAATTACAATTGACATACAATATTATATTAGTTTCAGGTATACAGCATAGCGATTAGACATTTATATTACTTGTGAAGTTATCACCCCAATAAATCTAGTACCCATCTGATACCATACATGGTTATTAAAATATTATTGACTGTATTCCCTATACTATAGTTTACATCCCCATTACTATTTTGTAACTGCCAATTTGTACTTCTTAATCCCTTCTCCTTTTTTCCCCCAGCGCCACAAACCCCCTTTTATCGGGCAACCATCAAAATGTTCTCTGTATCTATGAGTTTGAGGAAATCTCATATTTTTTAAAACCGAGATTTTATTCAGCTTCTCATGAAAAGTGGGAAGATAGTCATTCCTGCGTGGCTGCAGTCTTGCTCAGAGCTGAGTAGGGACCGTCCCTCATCCGCTGTGCAAAGTAGGGCATGAGCTTCCAGTTACACCCAGCCCACTCCATTCATTTCCATAACCGCTCTGATAAGCATTTGAGGTTATAACTTAAAGGAATAAGCTCTATGGCTTAAAAAAAAAAGTCAGTGACTCCAAAATCTTCTTAACCAGTCTGATTAAATACATCCAATCCCCTAAATTTTGTAGAAATGGACCACAATTAGGGACCTAATATTATACCCCAATCCCCAAATCCAGTAGGCCATGGCCGTCATTCCAATGGGTCACTGATTCTGTCCCCATAATAATCCCGTTTTTGTTTCTAACACAGGTAATAGAGAGGAATGCGGACCCAGAAGTCACTCTGCTGACCTTCTTACGAAAGAACTGAACCCTTTTTTTTAATCAAAGTCTTGGCCGTGTGTATGTTTGCCTTAAAACTTAGGCCAGCTGTGATTATGAAAACTAGTAGAACTCTGTCCCCAGTCAACCCCCTTGGCCCTTGTTCTCTCTGCTCTTAGCAATGGTTTAAAGGATATTAAGTTAACGCCTATTTAGAGAGGATTAAATTTCCCCAGAGTTTCTTATAGTATGTTGATTTAATAGTGAAATAGGAGCTAAGCTCTTCAGCACTAGCCACTCCCTTAAGGCCCTTCCAGACCCTAGGAAGGGGGTTATGTAATAGAGGCTTATGTTTTGCATGTACCCTGCCCTAGAGGGAAACCAAATTCTCCAGGTTCAGGAAGAATATGTGTCATAGGAAAAGGTTGCCTTTCCCAACATCTGTTTTCTTTTTTTTTTTTAAGATTTTATTGGGGAATTGGGGAGAGGAGAACAGCGTTGGGGAATCGGGGAAAGGGAACAGACAGGTAGACAAGTTGCTGTTTTTGTTCTTCATTCTAGTTGTGGCCGCTCACGCTGGCTGCCAGCCACACACAGTAGTCCATGGCAACCCACTACAGCAGTGGCTGCAGCCTATACCA